TTTTTTGGTTGCAGCCATCATTGTTGTTTGGCGGGCCTGGGCTGGATTCAAACCTGCCACCTTAGGTATATGTGGCTGGCGCCTTAGCCACTTGAGCCACAGGCGCTGAGCCTCCACACTACATTTTCACAAAGAATTGTCTTATGTTTTAGGCACTGAAATTCTTATTTAATAACAGAATAGCTCACTGTACTAAGTAGTAATATTATCTACATTTTATGTAAGAAGGAGCTGACAACTAGTGATTGGGTAACACATGCCACAAAGCCATGACTAAATCTCAGTTTAAAACCCCTGTTGTCTTAACCAATATGACGTAGTTTCCTATTGTTTTAAGTACTATTGTTTTAATAGGAGGAAGTGTTAGCAACTGAGAGTCAGACATTTGGTTCTTATTTATGGCTAGTTATATGAAATAGAAAAAAATATGTCATTTGTTGTCTTTCCAGAAAAAACCCAAAAGGCCAGTCTTGACACACATTTAGAAAAACTATACATAAAAATTCTTGGGAGGCACCTGTAACTCAGTGGGTAGGGCGCCAGCTACATACACTGGAGCTGGCGGGTTCAAATCTGGTTCAGGTCTGCTAAAACAACAATGACAACTGCAAGAATACAACAAAATAGCTGGGCATTGTGGTGGGCAACTGTAGTCCCAATTCCTTAGGAGGCTAAAGCAAGAGAATCATTAAGCCCAAGAGTCTGAGGTTGCTGTGAGCTGTGACACCACAGCACTCTACCCAGGGTGACAGCTTGAGACTCTGTCTCAAAAAAAAAAAAAATCTCAAATTGGTTTTCATCTTAGCTTCTGAGTAAGGTCAGTTACCTGGTCTCTCTACTCTATCCAGTCTTATTACAAAGTCTACACAGTTCCAAAATAACTTCTGGGACTGCTTCCTGATTTGGATAATTAGAAACAAAGTAACTACATGACCAGCTCATAATTTAGTACTTTAGCCAAATTTGAATCCTGGCTCTATCACTTACTAGCTGTGGTATGACGCTTAACCTCCAATCCTCAGTTTCCTCCTATGAAAAACTGAGATGAGAATTAAATAAAAGTATCAAGAATGGTGCCATTAGAATGGAAGCTCCGGCTCGGC